ATAAAATCTACTTTGGTAAGAGTTTTTAAGATTGAGATGAATTAAAGAATATATATATTTTAAAATGTTTGTGTGGATGTTTCTATAGATGCATAGATACAGTAATTCTAAGTTAGTTTTTAATTATACCTATTTGAAAACACTGCATGGATTAGAGTAAAAATTACTGTACTCTAAGTACTAAACTGTAACTGACATTAGTTTGCTTTTCTAGTAGTAGTATTTCAAGATGAGTTACATTTTTAATGAATTACTGGTTATTAGTTGGAACCACTTCTGCATATACTACAACTAAAAGTAAAAGATGAAGTAAAACTTCGTAAAATGTGAGAAATTTGTATGTGCAGACTTCAGAAACTACCCTTAGTGAATTTCCTGCTATTTGTTCTAGAATGCTTGCTGTAGATTTGAAGGTATTTTTCTTTTTCCTCAATAGTCACTTAATTCTCAAAAGGTAGTGGGTATAATGGCCTTTCGTCCTTACTTGGCTTTATAATACTTAACTTCTTATCACTTACCACTTTCCATTTTCTTGGGTAGCAAGGAAAGATTTATTTTGAATGTGTAAATTTCAAATGAAAATTTATTTGTTCAGAGAACCTTATGTCTTTTGCAGTTTTGTTTTCTATATTACATGTGACAATAAATTAGTGAGGCGAATTTTTTAACAAATATATCAGAGCCTATTTATTCAAATGTTGGCTATTTCCTTTGAAGTAGTTAGTTCCCTTGGGAAGATGTATACATAATCCATTAATCAAAGTATTTTAGGAATGCCTCTTTTTGAGTTTTCTTCAGTGGAATTGATGTATAGCTGCCCAAAACGGATACTTTGCGGGGAGAGAAGATTCATTTTGTGTATATATGTGCTAGTATTTTTGTTTAAAAAAAAAATCAATCAATCATAATAGCTTGTACTGCAGCCTGTATATATCTTGTAGATAATTGGACACTATGAATAGAAATAGAATTTTGAAAAACTGCCTGAATTTTAAATAAATGGTCATACTTACCCATTTTGTTTTAGACATCTTTTATGATATTGTCTGAAGGACCACCTGCAGTAGGAGCCCACAAATTGAATAAATGCAACATAAGGAGAGACTTTTTTTTTTTCTGTTGTTCTTGCTTATTTAAAAAATGCCACCATAAAGATTCTCTAAGGTAAAGTGTGCTATTTTAAAAAATACATATTTACCATTGAATTGAGACTTTTTAGATTAAAATTATCCAGTCCTCAAAAATTACCTGAAATCTACAGCATACTACCTCAATCCTCGTCCATTTTTATTTCCTTCCTGCCTTTAAAACCTCTTCCTCCTCATTCCCGTTTTTTTTTTGTTGTTGTTTTTTTTTTAAGATTGAGATGTAGTTGTTGTAAAGAACAATTTTAAAGTCGTGCAGTTTTAAACACATACAGGCTTCCTTTTTTCTTCACCAAAATATAAAAATTCTAGGAGGATAGATTGGTAAAATCTAAAAAATATGTAATTTATGACATGGCTAAAAGTATCAAAATAAAATATAAAGAGTTCTATTTTTAGTGAGTGAACACTTTGGAATTTGTTAGTAATGGAGCTTTAAAGAAAATTTTCTTATATAAAGTGCTTGATGGGAAAAATATATTAACCTAAAGCATTTGCTTATTTATCATGTTTTTAAAGCCAGGAATTTAATTTCTAAATGTATGTCCTTTTTTAAATAGAATTTAAGTACAGTAATGTTGATATTTATTGCACATTTTGTCTAAAATTTGCTTTTATTTTCAGAGAATTTGAATTATTATCTTTTTCCTCTAGTCCATTCTTTTTCTCATTTATATTCATACTTTGTTGGTACATACTACCCTCTAAAGTAGATTCTGAATTGACTGTACAATTTGCAGGAAAAGCTTTTTTTCTTTCCTGTGTTCTCATGGCATAAAGAAGGAATCCTCCCATAGTAGGGATAAACTTACTGGTAATTTGTAGCCAGGAGGATTATTGCTTACAGTCCCTCTCTCTAGCCATCCCTTTCCTACCTTGATGTTTGTCTGGAAGTGCCTTTAGGAATGTTGACAGAGGCAGAATGAATGCCTTCTGCTGAAAGTGCTGTGGGTAGGTGGTGTGACACCGTTGTGTCACACTAAAATTCAGATAAAAATGTTAATTTGTGAACTATTTCCCAAAAGGGAGACTTTTATTTCTGAGTGGGAAAGCTGCTTTGAGTGACATATATAATTCAGAAATTTTAATGTGAAATTTTTAATGGAGTATATTAAGTCTGAGAAACGTGGAATATCCCTTCTTCCTCCATGTTTAAATAGTTTTGGTTTTTGTTGTTGTTTGTTTTAGTGTTTAAGACTCTTCTGGGTAGAATATTCCCAGTGTGGACCTCAATTGTGTCTACTATAGGGGTTCAGCCATATATGGCATGTGGTGACCAGCAGGAATGGTCTGCTGATATAATGTGAAGGAACAAATGCGATTTTTTTTTTTTTAAAGGCAAATTAAAGAATAAAGAGCCAGACCTGGTGATAAAGTATTAGTTGTCACAGAGGAAGCATTTCTGAATTCAACCTGGGGTCTGTTTTGTTTTCTGGTCTAGAGCTCTTACGCCTTATGTCAGAGACCTCTGGAGATAGAAAGGCGGGTGGGCTGTGAGAAAAAAATAGTTAGAACAGGAAGATAAGGAGAAATACTGTAAGATGCTTGGGGTCAAGCAATACTGCTCTTGTACACTCTAAGCTCAGAGACCCAAGAAAGAAGAAAGGCATTCTTCCTCCTCTTTTGCCACAATCCACAGAGTCATTGGCATTTGACAGACTGCATTGTGCGGCAGTGTTAGAAAGATGTGGGGCACCCTGGGTGACAGCAGTGCTACTCGACAGAGCAGTAGTTAGAGCAGAGGGGATGCAGGGCTCTGGGAGAGTGGATATATGCTGAAGAAGCTGCAGTGGTCTCTGTCAGTGACAGTGGCGACCGATAGTCAACAATCCAGAGCAAAGGCAATACCTGGATGGAAGGAACAGATGAGGCCCGCCCAAACTCAGTTTGGAGGGAACGGAGCCAGCAGACCTCAGTACCACACAGAGAGGCACAAAGAGGGGTGAGATGATAATGTGCCATGGTAAGTGACTGCTAGCTGATTGGTCTTGCTTGTGAATACATAGGAGATACTTCAGGATGACTCCTCGAAATGTTCTGGGGGACAGCTTATAGGGGTCTGGCACCCTGCACTGTGGGTTAGTAGAGTTCTCTAGAGAAACAGACCCAATAGGAGATATACATATAAAACAGATATTGGCTCATGTGGTTGTGGAAGCTAAGAAGTCCCACAGTTATGCCCTCTGCAAGCCGCAGAGCCAGGAAAGCCTGTGGTGCAGTTTATTGAGTCTGAAGGCCTGAAAATTGGTGTGACAAAGGTGGGGACAAGGGAGATCATCAAGTCCTGGTCTGAGTCTAAGTATCTCAGCTGAAGCTGAGACAGCGAATTTGCCCTTCCTTCACTTTCTGTTCTATTCAGGCCCTCACTGTATTGGATGATGCCCACTCATTTTGGTGAGGGCATCTTCTTTACTCCGTTTGATTCAAATGCTAATGTCTTGGAGACACTCTACCAGACACACCCAGAAATAACATTTTACTAGCCATCTTAGCACTCCTTAGCCCCATCAATTTGACATACAATATTAACCATCAAAGAGATGAAGGTGAGACCCAGCAAGTATAAGTTACATTTATTTTGTAAAATAATTCACAAATTTGTGGAAGTACTAAGGTCTTTTTTTTAACCTTTCTTTTCTTTATCTTTTCTTTCCTTCTTTCTTTCCTTCTCCCTCCCTCCCCCCTCCCTTATACTTCCCTCTTCCTTCCTTCCTTCCTTCCTTCCTCTCTCTTTTTCTTTATTTCTCCCTCCCTCCCTCTCTCTCTTTCTGTCTCTCTCCCCCTTCCTTCTCCCCCCCCCCCACTTCTGTCTTTCTTTCTTTCCGCAAAACTTTTTGCTTAGTTACTAGTGGTGGCAAAAAGTATTCTAGGGGTTGGATCAACCAAGTTAAAGTATGATTCTTTTCCTTAGGAGCTTGCACTTTATAGGACAGAGAATGGCAGTTGAGAAAATTAACATCTAGTTGGGGGTGGGCAGGGAAACTTTTGCCCATTAGAGATACCTTGTGTTGGACAGGAGTGGTCTTCCTCTAGCATCCCTCTCCGACTGAGGTGAATATGGCCTTGGCTTGAACACTGCTGTGAATCTTGAAGGTGTGACAGCTGGAAATTGTCAGTGAACTGTGCTCCTCACAGCAGTTTGTCTGAGTGGTGTACCTCCTTGGCTGTTACAGTGGATGTGGGATTCAGTTGGTGAGAAATATCAAGTAATTCCTGCTTGTCCATTATCTCCTCTGCTTTCAGCAAATTGATTGTAGAGTCAGAGAAGCTGACTGAAATTGAGCAAGTCTTTGAAAGAATTCAGGAAAAGATAACAGCTGATAGATGCAGAACAAGGACAATATATTGATAAGACACGAGTTGAGATAGTAATAGCTCATATAATCTAGGATTGATTGGGAAGGAAGTGAAACTAGAAGGGGAATAAGGGATTGAAATTAAATGAAGTCAAAGAACTAGATATTTCAATGAGTTTGAAAGCACTTGTACTGAGTGAGGGAGTTAAGAGGGAATTGTGATGATGAAGTGGTATATTAGTTTAAGATTAATAGACAAACTCCAGGAAATTCTGATACTTTGAAATCCTATCATGTGAATTGGGAATAAAATTTAACAGAAGATGACAATTATATGTATATATCGTAGAATCACAACCACAAATACCATCTAAAAGTATAAAGATATAATAATTTAATTTTAGTAGTGTAACTTTTCTGCAAAGTAAAGTTTCTGAGCCACTCGTATATCCAGTTTCTTGATTGAATAAATTTACTCGTTTATCAGGGAGTGCAGGTCTTTCCCCCCCCTGCCAAGAACTTGTTTTTTTATGGGCTATTTTTTCAATTTCTCTTGTAGCCTAAGAAAATATCTCGGTATTTTTTTCTCAGAAGAGAAGCAGGTGAGTTCCCTTCTTCTGAAGAGTTTGTGTCTTTATACTTGATAGAAAAAATAGAGAAATGAAAAACATTCAAAGCATGTATAGCCAAACATTTCTTGAACTGAAAGTAATAAAGGTAAGATAACAGTTTTAAATACATAAAAACTTCAGTAGCTGTCCCTTTGTAGAAGGGGATTGGGAATTGCAACAAATAATTCAGACAATTAAAATAATAAAATTTATTGTTAGAAGAAGGATGGGTGAAATGATATTATAAAGCAAGTATACAAAAATGTAATTGAAGATTCTAGGTGGATGTTCACTGTAAAATTCTTTCACCTTTTCTGTGTATTCAAAAATATTTGTAATGTTGAAAAAATAATATAGCATTTGCAAATTTGAAATGCTAATAAATGATAGTCTGATGGATAGATGGATAGGTCTGTGATAAAATGAGTATAATAAAATGTCAGTTATAGGATCTAGATCATGGGTAAAGAATGTTCACTCTAACATTACTGCAACTTTTCTGAATGTTTGAAATTTTTCAGAATAAATGTCATAAACAACAATGTTTGTCATTAGAGATCTGAATTTTGTTGTGTGACCCTAGGCAAGATAATTAGTCTCTGAGCTAGTTTCCTCTTCTGTAAAATGGGCATAATATATAGTTTGTAGATAGTTCCGAGAAGTAGAAAAAGTATCTGTAAAGCACGTGGCGAATGATAGGCATTTGAAAATGCCTCTGATAATACTGAAACTATAAACTCCAAATTTAGGGATCATTTGCTTAATATATTTAGAATTTCTGGTTATATGAGCCAGTTAGTTATTTGATGGAACCAGGAAGAGGGGTATTCAAGGTGCGATGTTTTATTATCAAGACTGCTTAATTTCACACAATGCCTGTACTCCATGGTCAGAGCCTGTGTGTTTTCTGGCTTATTCTCGAAGTTATTCAGAGCTTGACCCCCTACTGATGGGAAGGTAGAACTATCCTTACACAAAGGATGGGATCTCTGACTTTTTAGTAACTACCAAGGAAACCTTTATTGTCTTTAAAAGTATTTTCATTTTGGGGCTGCTGGGTGGCTCATTTGGTTAAGCTGCTGACTCTGGGTTTTGGCTGAGGTCATGATCTCAGGGCCATGGGATCAAGCCCTGCTTCCCAAGGCTCAGGGCTCAGTGTCAGCATGGAGTCTGGCTTGTCCTTTTCCCTCTGTTTGTCCCCGCCCCCCCCCCCCCCCATGCTCTCTCTCTCACACTGTCTCTAAAATAAACAAACAAATAAATAACTTAAAAAATAAAAATATTTTCATTTTGTAAAGTGTGCATAAGTTCTCTGAAGTGGAGTTACTGTATTCCTGTCTTCATTGGTAGTTCCATCTGAATATATGTATACCATACATTAGTGTGAGAGTTTTGAGTCACATTATGTTTTTTAGAGTATATAGTAAATGTAAATCATATTTACTGCTAAATACATGGTTATGAATTATATTTATAAATACGTAAATAATTATTGCATAATATTCAGTAGTACTTTCTTTATGACTTTATTTTCTTATAGAAGTCAGTCATTCTTTGGTTTCTTTTTAAGAAATAAACTTAGATTTCTGGTTTGTTTGAACTTGGGCTTCAAGTGCATTTGTAAAGTACATTCCTCCTGTTTATTTGTTCTGTTTCAATATGCAGGGTGGATAAAAATTACTGAACTTTTTATATTTATGTAAATTTACTTAAAATTAAATTCAAATTTACTACCATATGCCTCAAGGGCTAAACATAATATAGACTATTAAAATCATTTATATAAATTAGTTTTAAAAACCAGTTCAATATGTTGAATCAATATGTCATGAATTGCATATCTGTATAGTTTTCATCCTAGTAAATTCCATGGCATGTACTTTTACAGCATACAGATTTTAAATAAAATTGAATAGACTTTTCTAGCCTGCATTATGGAGGAACTTCTGTTATCTTCCAGTTGAATGATTTAATGTCTGAAAAAGAACCCGGCTACTTAAATGTGAGTCATCCAGGTTTTGTATACCCATCAAATCTTGTAGGACAGAGTTTATCTCTTAGTAATATTTACTGACTGGCCTTCATTTGCTAATCTTTGTGTGATGTAGAATAACATGAAAATATATATTCATTTCAAAGGACTGTTCAGGGAGTGTCCTTGTTTTTTTCTTCTGTGGGTATTTGCCAGTCTGTGGCTACAAATCTTTGTGAAACTATAGGGGAATGACAAGGCATCCGTGAACACACATACTTTTTGTGTATTAATTAGTGTATTTTGTCACTTAGTGAAGACTGAAAGTACACTTAAGTCTGTGAGTGTAGGGCAGATCTGTGATATTTTTTGAAATTGAAAGAGTATCCTTATATTCAGATAGGGATCATCAGTATTCTAGGAACATCAAATATTCCATCATTCTCATGAATAAAAATTTAAGCTTGAGTAAAATAATGGCAACTTTTGGAAAGAACAGATGTAAGCAAATATTGGTAAGAAAAGACAGGTAATAAACTTATTCTTGAGCAAAAACCTAGAACGCAAGTAATGAATTATATAGTAAATACATTTCCTATTGTCAAAACAGAACAAAAAGTTTCTATTCATTCTTAAATGAATCTTAAATGATCTTTTTGTGATTTAAATTTTAACTCACTTAAATTTTGGTAAAAATTTCAAATACAGGAGATTTTAATGTAAGCAGGTGTTACAGTATTTGTCTTTGGCTTTGAATGTTAAACAGTGCGGTTATACTACTATTTTTATGTAATTGTAAAACTCAGGTAGTTTTAAGTACAACCTAAAAAGTTACGCAAATAGAATTTAATTCTTAACAAAGAAATATTTAATATATAAACAAAACCAGTTTCCATAACCCCTTGATGGTGTTCTCTTTTCTTAACCAAATTATGTGAATACATCTGACTTGCTATTGTTTGTTATGTTTATAAAGAATTAGAATAACCTGTTTTTAAAAAGAGTAATATATACATATTTTTCTTTACCAATCTCTCATTTTCTCTATTTGCTAAATATAAAATAGCAATGAAAATGTATATTTCTTACATTCTTGTAGAATTTATTTTCTTAAACAGGTGCTTGTCAGGGTCATTTGTTCTAAAATTTTTTCTTCCCACATTCAAAAATGAATGAAAAATGTAGAAAAAAGGTTCACCTTTATATTATTTTATTTCTAAATGCTTTCTAGAACATTATTAACAAAGTCTGCTATGTTCTATGAAGAGATTAGGTATGAAGAAAAGAATTAGTATACTATCTTGTTATTTTGATTCATAGGTCAGGGTTTTTTAATTAATTTTGTGTAATCTAAGAATTTTATACCTGGATGCTTTTTGTTCTTGAATATTTTTTGGCCTTTTATACTTGCGGTGGTTTTTACCTTGTCAAATATAGGTATATTTTGTTTATTTAGACCAATTTCTAATTGTTTTCAGAAAGCATTGAAAGCTGAAGACTCTAAGTAATTTATTTTCAATGTGTAGTATTTACTGCTGTGCTGTATATACATTTTATATTTATGTCAGGAAAGGGTTGCAGAGGGGTGCTTTAGAACCACCTTTTCAGCTCTAAATAGCTATTGTGTACATATGGTAAGGTACTGCTGCTTAACAATTAGTAACTGCTTTGATGAAACTAAATTACATGTTTAAGTTCCCATCAGGAAGTCGCTTCACATATCTGTATTAATGCATTCAGGGCTCGAGAAGGAAAGTTAATTTTCAAGCTTAAATATTTAATTCAAGCTTAAAATTTAGTCTGTAATTAGAGCTCCCAAATGGCAGGAACATGGAGTATTTGTCCATTTTAATTAGATTGTTGTTTACCTATTAATTATATATCATATCTTGTCATATAGTTTTGATGGTAACAGATGGTGCTAGGAGTTAGTAAGGGTTTCAATAAAATAAGATTCCACATGATTTATTAAGTTGCACTTTATTAGTGAGTGGTCTGCTTTAGTCAGGTTATTCTCCTGAATAAGAACTGTGCAACATTCACTAATTTTAGTAATTACTCTTTTGTGGAATACTGAAGACAAAAAAGTCTGGACAAGTAATGTCTATTTGGAAACAGAATGGATTACTTTAGGATTCTTTAGTTATAAGGAGTATGTATTGTCCAATTGTATAATTGTTATGAGGTTTAGAGCATTTTGCTAGGATAAAGAGAATCAGAATTGTATTTATCAGCAAAACTGTAGGCATAGGGAATGCTTTATGTATATATAGTAATGATTTAGGGTATGAGACATAGTAGGACAGTGATTCAGTCATTTATATTCAAGACATTCCTTCTCTGGCTATTGAATTTAAAAAGACAATTTCTTTGTTTACCAAAATATCTAGGAGCAGACTGGTATCTAGTGAAGTTGACTTAGAATTTTCATATTGAAAAAGTAAATGTCAATTAAATAGAAAGGCCTTCTAAGTTTGTTTATACAAGATTTTATTAATTTTTTTGTTACCAACTCAACTTCCTAAAATGAATTAATTAAACATTTATATGTGTGTATGTCCAGAGAGAGAGAAAAACAGAGAGGAGGGAGAAAGGGTGGCTTTAAAGGAAAGAGGGATTAAATTTTTCATTTTTTAATCTCACATAGTTTGTTTGAAATTTACTATAGTCTTCAATATCATTAACTTAAAAAAGTACATTTGGTTACTATCTCTTAGCTCATTCTTTAATATCATTAACTTAAAAAAGTACATTTGGTTACTATCTCTTAGCTCATAAGGTTCTTATTTCAAAAACCTAGGTCAGTGTTTTATACCAAAAGGTAAACCAAAGGCCCAGCCCCACTTTTACTAGTTTTAATATTTGCTATAGAGGGGTTCCCTGGTATATATATCAAATCTTCAGAACTCTGTCCTGTTACATATGTTACCTTCTGTGAACAGCTTTGTTTTTGGTGAGTTTTATTTTATCTTGTTTTTGTTTTCTAATTTGTCTCCATTTAAATCATGTCAGTTTTTAG